CAGGATGTTCACTGGAGTATCCTTCAGAAAATTAGATCTACTGTGGCGTTTTTTCTGAATAAATTAGCGCGAATTGAAAAAAATCTGGTATTTACACCTGGACCAATCCTTAAAGTCGTAATTACATGAGACTTAGAGGAAGAACCGGTATTCCACAGGATTCAAAACCGATGTAAATCTGGGAACTACTGACCAAAATAAACGAACTGTAAGATCTCGCATGAAAAAGCGCATCATTAAACCGCATGGAACGTTTGCGGAGAAAAATCACTGTGACCTACTTGGGGGGGAAATGGAGAGTCCTCGCGTAACCTAAAACTAGTAGTTGAAGCCTATAATACTCAGGATTGTATTATGTCCCAGTGACTTCTGAACAAATTTCTGGAGCTGGAGCTGGAGGTGGATGATCGTGGCTTCCCGTAGGACAGAAAGTCTTTCGGCTTGCTATGCTCAGACGAAGTGCATCAAAGAATTTTGAATGAACATCGGTCGTTCTGATCAAACATTTCTGTCCCGTGTTTGGCGAGACCAACTCCTCTATGTTTGGAAGACAGCTGCCAGTAGGCTGACGAGATATTATCGGAAGCTAGAGGTTCATTAGCCTGACAAACACACCACATAAGGTGAAGTTCACTGTAACCCATCTGGTTACCAACAGCTTTAAATCTCCGGTCCAACAGGATTTTCTCACGAACCACTCTCGCGTGAGGAGCATGCTGAATTTCATGGACAGCTTAACCCAAGCCAAAGACAAACGACGCAACGGATACCATATTTTTGATTTCTCGAAAGTAGCTGGGCGAATAAGTTTTGTTTTACTGCATACCGATCTCAAGGCTTGTAAATCTTGGTGAGAAAATCTTATTGTGAATTCGTTTTCAAATGCGTGTTCCCAATGAGAGCCATAAACCATTAAACATTTGCTTTGCTCAGGGTTTCACTGTGGGAACACTCTTTTTCTGATCTTCGTCAGCGGCGTTCTAGATAAACTTTTAAGTTTACGTCCACTCTTTGCCGTAAAACTATTGTCGAGGTATTGGCATTTTCCCTTAGGCGACGGAGCGCGTCCAGATGTCGTTTGGAGAGCCTTAGCAAAGGCTACGAAGCAATACAACAAATGAAGTTCAGGTATCCCACTCCACAAAAGTAATTTATGCTCCACCAAGAAAAACTATATCAAAATCACCCATCATCTATCAAATCATTCGGTGCACCTACCTTCGTTCCACTCGCACCAACGTTCAGAAACTCCATGGTCATACGCCAGTCCAGTGCTAAGACGCGCCGTCCAATTTGTCTATCCAGAGGGCAAGAGTAAAAAGCCTTCATTGACATGTCAAGAAAACTGCGTCCAATCTGCTGCTTGTGAAACGCGATTCAAGATTTTGGAACTCCTAGAAAACCACTGCTTCCCAAATGGACGCATGCCTTTTCACGCCTAGCTGGAACAAGGCTTGATTGATGTTTTTCACCGTGGTCCCCATTCATACATGGCAGGTATGCAGCGTGTGACACTTTCAGACAGCAGGGGTCCATACCATATTTGCGACCCATTCTAAATACTTAGGATCCTGCTTTATGTGAATCCTTGCATTAAAAAGCATGTCGTTTGGGGCTAAACCATGATTACGGCTACGAAACCGATTCTCGTGTGAATTTCAGATGAAAAAGGGCAGCAGTAAGAGAGGAACAGCCCCGCAACGTGAAGCCTGGTCATAGGTCTCGACCACGGATTCACGAATTCACGGATTGATACGCAGGATCGAGGCTATCGTCCAAGTTTCCCGGGTCGCTTTTGTTCTTGTCGGTCAGTGGCCGTCGTTCACCCGAAAGGCACAAGTGAAAAAAGGGTGTAGCACTGCTCTTTATGTTCTCAGCGCGGGGCAGTATGCTTGCCAGCGCGAGGATTCGCATAAGTGTCTAATAGTGCTTTAAACTGTATTCTAGAAGGAGCGTGAACAACCGCCGGAGGAAGGTCATTCCACGCTACTACTACCCGAAATGAGAAAAAATTTTGTCTAATGAATGTGTGTGCTCTGAGCCTGAACATTTTCTCATTATGTCCCCGCCGGGTGTTTGCTGGTTCAACGGTGAAAAACCTGTTTGCCAAGCTTCGTTCAAACAGGGCATAAGTAAGAATTAGCTCCCCTCGGAGGCGACGGTACTCCAGGGGAAAGAGATAAAGCATCGCGAGACGCGCTTCATAGTCCACGGATTTGAGGCCGGCAACCATT